TTCTATTTTGATGTGCTACTTTCGTCGACTTTTACCGTCCACCACTGTAGTCAAGCTGCGCCTGCGGCGCAGCTTGACTATTGATGTGGGCTAATGTCGCCGGGTCCATTGCAAAGGGCGCAATTTTGATTTTTGCGCCACAACTACGTCAATGTTCGTCTGATTGCCCTGAGAATGGTGGGAAACGATCGGGCCAATCAAGGCCGTCATTTACCGCCAATTTGACGAAAACCAGGCAAGAAATGAGTGAGTTATGTATATATGGCGAAATTATATGAAATTGACCACCAAGTATGTGAAAAGGCACACTATAATATAGAGGTTTTAGTGTGCTGAGTATTTTTATTATTTTTCTCCTTCCTTATATATTGGTATTGGCAAGGAATTGACTTTTATAGCCTATTTTAGTTTAGTTTGTACAGTGTTTTCATTCTATTGCGCAGGACATTCCTTTACAGAGTCTTTTCGTGACGGAGATGTTTTCTTCGAGTTCTGGTGAATCGAATGCATATAAAATTGTAAAATCCACCAATCTGTCATATGAAATCTCTGCTTGGCCCCTCGATGCCCTCGCGGACTGTGATTGTTGCAAAATATCGCTGTGCAGCGAAAGGTCTTGAGCTGGGGCTTCACCGTCAGAGGTAAGAGAGTGAATCATCTTGCCCCCCAGTAGCGCCGGCAATGCACTGCTTGAAAATTCCAGTCTTGAGCATCCTTGACGGAGAATTTGCTGGCGCGCTGCTGGTTGGCTGGGGGACGAAGAAAAATGCTCTCGCATTTTTCTTGAGAGTCGACTTGTTCTCGAAATAAGTTGAGTTCGTTCATCCATCTTGGACAACTTCATGCTGGCCAACTCTACCTTTCTCGCGGTTATGACGTCAATTTGTAGAACCCCCTCGTTCCCACCGTCGCGTTCGACTACAATAGGTCCCCAAGACAAAATGCATTAGATTTCGTACTGGACAAGCTCTGTAGCAAAGGAGTTGACGCTATGGTAAGTTTGCGCTGTACTGACGAGGGATTCAAATGAAAACAGGGTTGCCAACCAAACATCGAAACATTGCCGAATTGACTGAGGTATTGCTCAAAACCGTATCACTGATCACAGACAAGGATGCCACGAAATATTAAAAAAATATTAAATTTACACTTGAAGTTTGGATACAATAACTTTCTATAAATACACAAATATCAAATATAATGCACTAGCACTTTTTATCGGCGAACAACTGGAGACAATTAGGGCGAACGCGCAACAAACGAAGAACGCAGCATGTCTGTGGCAAAACGTTCTGCGCTGCGCGGCTTTGAGCAGAGTGGCGCTGAGTCAAGGCACGGCGGGACTTCTTCTCCGCTATGCGTGCATACCGGGCGAATACCGAGCGGTACTGATGCTGGTCGTCGTCCCGCAGAGGCATCAATCCGACTGAAAGTTCGTGAGCACGAAGGTGAGACGTTGGATGCCATCGTAGATCTTGTCCCCCCCTCACACGCATACGTACTGAGTGTCACCTTCCACAGGAAACAGGCACAACCAAAGAAGTTCTCGACGACCACGCGGTCAGACGACACGGTGCCTTTGCGGTCGAGGTCATTGCGGCCAAGCACCCTGGACAGGCTTCTTCTTCGGGTGCACTGCGCGGAAGGTATGAGACAGCCCAACGTAGCCCAATGTGAACAAGCACAGCCCACATGGTTGGATGGACCTGGAACCGCTCACCGTTGTCGTTCGCAGCAACTTCGTCAGGTGTCTTCGTCATGGCCTGGGCGTGAATGTCATTACGGGAGCGGAAGATCGTCATGTCGGATACAAACCCAGGTTGGTAGGTGCTCATATCCACCATGCGGTCTTCTGGGGACACTGACACTCCGATCTTGAGCCCATATAGCTCGTGCTTGCCACTAAAGTTATGCTTCTGCTCTACGAAGCGGCCGGCCGGACGGTGTGAAGGCTGGAATTTGACATCCGTCGCATACGAGTGTTGGTGAAGGTGTTGCCGCGGTCCCGGAGCGATGCCATGGTGGGCATAGTGACAAAGACGTCGTAGAGTGCAGAAGAGGCAATGTCAATAACTCGCATTATCTTCATCTCCAACGTCGGTGCTAAAACTCCGAAGTCAACTACATTCTTCTCCCATGTCTGGTAGTGCTTCATGATGACAAGTGTCACGAAGAGGCATCCTTTGCTGTTGTCTTTGGTTTCCCACCTCGTCCGTCCATCCAACGACGGCAGAGCGGGACTTCAACGAGTCCCTAGATTGTTTCAAACTCCGCCGGGGTAAAGTTGGTCAAGGTCCGATGGCCATCGACGCCAGTGACCTCAAGGATCTCGTCAATGACAGGGTTTTGGTACATTGTGACATTGCTTTCGTGTTCTGCCGCCGCACCGTACACATCGAGGCATTCCTCCAGGTAGTGCTGGTCGGAGACGGCTTGTTCTTGCCAGCGTTCCAGTATAGACGCGACGATGAGAACCATTTGTATTGATTTTATTTGTGTGGGGTGGCTGGTCTCCCTGCAGTCCTGCAGTGCTTTGGTCCTGCTTGTGGTTGGTCTCCCTGCTGTACAACTACGCGGGAAATTGTGGCGTGGCCAATCAAGGTGTGGCAAATATTAAATCACCACTTTAAAAAGCCGTACATTTCGTAAATGTGCCTCTGAATGGCACATGACTTCGGTTCACAGGAAAGATGCTGCCTATTGAATATAGACATGGTTGTATCTTCAGAAGTAGTCTCTCTGATTTACGACATGGTAAGAGGAATAGGCCCGCCCATTTCCAAATTGACTCCATCCTTTCTCAAAAGTCGATCATCGATCAGAAACTTGGATGATGAAAAATATAATTACAAAATTTAATTTTGACTTGAAGTTTGTACGCAAAAACGTTTTTTGAGCATACAAAAATCAAGTATAAAATGTCATTATTAAATTAACGGCAGGTGTTCGGAGATGGAGACTAGAAAGGGCCACGAGCAATGAAAGACGCACGCATCGAACCCATCGCAAGGCGTTCAGCACGACGCTGGACATAGCGGCGCTGGGTCATGGCACGCTGAGTGATCTTCTCTTCGGCCATGCGGGCATTTTCGGGCCAGAATGGAACGATAGTAGTGGAGGTCGTCTTCACGGAACGGCATGAGACCGACGTGGAAGTTGGTCAGAGCAAAGGTGAGTCGCTGGATTCCATCAAAGGTCTTAGTTCCCCACACAAACGTACTGTAGGAGATCTTCCACAAAATGCACACCCGGCCGAAGAAGTTCTCGACGATGGCTCGGTCAGCGGACACGGCGGCGTTGCGCTCGAGGTCAAGGCGATCAAGGGCTCCATGGGTTGGGCGCTTCTTGGGGTGCACGGCACGAACGCACTCGGTCAAACCAACGTAACCTTTGTCGACCAGTACGGTCCACATGTTCGGAAAGGTTTGATGAAGCTCACCGTTGTCATTGATAGTCGAAACATAGTGACATCCGACACTGAACCAGGTTCGTGGTTGCTCATGCCCACGAGTTTGCCATGTGGGGAAGCTGACGCTTCGATCTTGAGTCCGTAGAGCTTGTGTTTCCCGCTGAAGTAGTGTTTCTGCTCTTCGAATCGGCCGGCCGGTCGATGCGAAGGTTGAAACTTGATATCGGTCGCGTACTTGGCGTAGGGATAGTTGGCGAACGGGCGGCCACTGACGTGGATCTGCTCCATGGTTGGCATCACGACGAACGCGGGAGCGGCCAAAGGTTTAAATACGGAAGAATCTTTGTGACCAAGACCTCGTGAAAGGCAGCACGATCAAATGTTCCTAATCAATTCCAATTAATATAATGGAACTACAAAAATATATACCGTCCACATAATCCCACGCTAAAAATCCAGACGTAGTAAATGCCGCTAACGCTGACACCCGCTGGCCACGTGAGAATGGCAATACTACAATTGAATTTTTGTTGCGCTTCGACCACGCATACTTGCGAATTGAATAACGTCCATCCTTGGACGTCGCGTCGACAAAGACTAGCTGGTCGAGGTACGCGTAGTATGGGCTTAATCGCCTGTAGTAATCGCGCAGCTCAAAATCGGCCGACTCTCGAGCTCGTCGTTCTAAGACTATGAACACACAAATAAATCCTCAAAATATATTCAAGACTTAAATACATTTTCGCGTCAATCCTAAGTCATACATGAGAGCTCTACATATCGTTGCCGCGGATACATTCTTCAGTGTCGGAAATTGATGTCTCAGTGCGTCTTGAAGCTCCTCGATATAGAAGCAGGGGTGCAATGTGGTGTAGTTGCTCACCCAGGCGTTGACCTCGGCTGGCCAGCGTGACCCCGTCGAACCCGACTTTAACTGTGTGACGTTGCCAGTAGATGTGAACATCGTGTTGAATCTTGTTTCGCTACGTCTTGAGAGTCCAAGTATGACGCGAACGACCCCAACTTCAATGCCGTAGACTTGGACAAGCACAACACATCTCCAACGCATGTCGATGCTGATCATTGTAAAACAAGTTGAATAAGATAAATACGAGCTCATCCACCAATTCTTGACCAATCACATCATCATGAATATTAATTACTCAACGCTGAACCGTAAAAATGCAT